TATGGGTGCTCTTCCTATATGCCCGATGCACCTAAAGGCGTAAACGGGGATCTTTACTTACTACATAAGCAATTTGATTTACTATTTTTCATTCATGCACCAACCAGATGGAAAGAAGAAAAAAATGTTAACCTGGTAGAAAGAATAAACTGTTTATTAAATATATACTTATAAATATGTTGAAACATGTCAAAGGAAGTGTGCTAAGGTTCTAGTGATACTGTTACTATTTTTCAGGATTGTTATATTGATTAATAATATGTTATGTTCTACCATTAAACTTTTAACAGAGGAAAAATAGACTTTGCTCAAATAATGTCTGAGTCAACAGCTACGAACAAGTATTTTGAATAAAAAAATAATACTGCAGACATATACACCAGGGCATAAATTGAGGCACTAGAAGTTATTAATCCTTTCCTGTTAGATTCTTTCTTTGCTTCCCTCTGTAGCATTATGCTGATTCATCTGTGTATATTTTTATACAGTATTTATTATCCTCACGAAGCAGGTCATTTACATAAGGTCGCTCTCATCACAGTTGGCCTGGAAAAAGAAATACCTGTTTTCTCACCAGCTCTTCCATCTTGTGCACTTGCCTGTTCAAGGTGTCTCCTACAGTAGTCCTACATACTCTGTCCACCTTCATGCCGGTCAGCTCTTGTTGTACCTCTTTTCTGGTACTGTGTCCTACGTTACTGTTCTTTCTAAACCACCACAGCGCTTGAGATAGCCAAAATATGTCAGCTATGAGGAAAGGTGTTCACGAGCTGATCTTTCTTGATGTTGAGGTCTTTAAGAGTGTCATTGTTATTATTTGTTCTTCTTGATCTGTGGTATTCTGAGCATCTTTCTATAGCATTTCAACTAACAGTCACAAGCCCCTATATTAGGTCCTTAATGATAGTGAGATGGTCCATGACTCACATTTGTATGTTGCTTTTAACTTCTGTCAAACAGCCTCCCTTGTTTATTATGGAGCCTATATATTCAAAGTTTGTGACATTTTCCTCACTATGAATTGTTATTGTTGGGTGACAGGTAGTTTATATCTGTGGACATTACGTATTTTTTTCCTTCAGATTCACTCATTCATGAACAGGTTTTGATCTTTGCTATTCAGTATAAGCTTGGCTTTTTATCTTTCTTCTTCATTTGTCAGCTCATTGATAACCATGTTGTAGCCCAGTGTTGTGGTTTTCTGTATTTGTCTTATTCTTCTCGGGTGGCTTGGGTGATGGATTTGTTGATCTTTTTGCAGGTTTCAGTTTCTTTTTCTTGTAAAAAAAGTCTCAAATGCAGTTTGGTCTGGCTGCATTCTCACTAGATGACTGAACCATTTCATTCTTTGTCTGTCAGTATAATCCAGACATGGTCTTATTTCAGCTTTCTCTCTAAAGCTGGTATTTGTAACCCTATCTCTTCTTGTGTTGTTAGTGACTGTATGTGTATATATATATATAGAGGCTATCCTCCGAATAACAGTCTTAAATTATCGAGCCGGAAAATATACCCTAACAGGGCCTCAGTCATGTGTCAATTGCGCACTTCCGTCGTCTTAAATTGCGCACTTCGGGCGACTTCCACCACCGCCGAGAGTGTCCCCCACGCCGCTCAGGCGTCGTGGATTGGGGCTAAACTAGATGGCTGGGACTCACGAGCAGCAGCTACCGCATCTCCTGCAGCTTCCTTAATTTTATTTGCTCGTGAGTCCTAGCCATCTAGTTTAGCCCCAATCTATGCCACATGAGGGATGCTCGCGACGGAAGTCGCCGGAAGATCGCAATTCGGCACTGGCGTTATAGTCCTCGGAAGTGCGCAATTGACCCGCGTCTGAGGCTCTGTTAGGGTAAATTTTCCGGCTTGATAATTAAGGACCGTTATTCGGGGGATAGCCTATATATATATATATATATATATATATATATATATATATATATATATATATATATATATATATATATATATATATATATATATATATATATATATATATATATATATATATATATATATATATATATATATATATATATATATATATATATATATATATATATATATATATATATATATATATATATATATATATACCACAGATCAAGAAGAACAAATAATAACGACACTCTTAAAGACCTCAACATCAAGGAAGATATATATATATATATATATATATATATATATATATATATATATATATATATATATATATATATATATATATATATATATATATATATGTGTGTGTGTGTGTGTAGTTATTTATTAAAATTATCATTAGTCGTTTGGCACATCTGACTATATGGTGGTATTGTCACTTGATGAACAAGATTTCCTTTTGTATGTTCTGACCAAATGTAAAAAAAGTTGGTAGTTGGTAATCAAGGTTTCAGCTTTGCTAAAACACACTACCGTCAGTAATGTTAAGTACACGTAAACATGATTTTTTATAAAACTGTTGGGGAAGAATTGGTGGTGAAAAAAGCTAGTGATACTATGGCTTAGAGCAGCTGCTCTCAAACTTTTTTCGCCATGGCACCCTTGCCGGGCTTTAAAAAAAAAAATTCACCGCACACCTCCCCTTAAAGTCGTTAAATACTCAGGGAAGGGGGAAAAACGGTGCAAATTTACTGTTCATTTGTTTTTTAATGCAATGAATGAGACTGTTTAGATGCATTTTTCATTACAAACTTAACATTTTTAGAGATTCTCTCCAGCATGAATGACCCTGCCTGAAGAGATAAAGCGCAGCGTTTGAAGATTGCATAATTTTTATTTACTAAATCAGAATGATTGCATTCCAGATATCTCTTTAACACACACACACACACACACAAAAGCACATAAAAACACCAAAAGAATACATTACCTGTAAATATAAATGGTTACTTAACCAGGCTAACAGTTACTACTGTACAGACCACATTTTCCACCTTAAAATTTCAGTCAAAATGTAACCACAACTTGACTTATCGACTGCACTTTCATGAATGTAGGCAGAGGATTGGCCGTACCTCGAGAAAATTACAAGGACAGTTCTTAGCATGTTTCGGTTGGCATTTTATGAAGTATGAAACATGCCTGAGTGTAAAAACAAGTAATAAACTCGTTTCGGCAGTGGCGAGGGAAGATAACTAAAATTTTAACTTTTAATTACGAAGAGAAATCAATAAGTGAGTCACAAATGGTTGCGTACAACAACAACAAAAAATTAAGAAAACAACTTGAAAGCTGTTTATTTTTACACATAGTCTGTCCCTTTATTTTTCAACATATAATTTCCACCAAAACTGATGCATTTGTCCCATCGTTTTATCAGTCCTCCCAAACCTGATGCATAGAACTGCATGCTCTGTTTTCTAAACTACATTTTCACATCACATTCAACTTCTGCATCGTTTGCGAAATGTCTCCCGCCAAGTGGGTTTTCAGTGGACCAAAAAGATGAAAATCGTTAGGGGCTAAGTCGGGACTGTAAAGTGGATGTTCCAGAAGTTCCCACCCTATATAGTTAAATTTCTCTTGAGTTAACTGAGACATATGTGGTCTGACGTCAGTCACGAAGAAGAAGTACCCCCTCTAGTCACCCGGCCTGGACATTTTCTTCGAATAGCATCATGAAAATGTATTCACCCAGCTATGCACAACTTCACGAGATAAACATTTGTCAGCAAAAACATTATGAATGTCTAATGCAGGCAGCCATTTGCCCCTGCCCCCCCCCCCCCCCCAAAAAAAAAACATGCACAACAGCACGTTATTCTTTGAGGGCACACTCTGAAAGTACAGTCACCATTTTGTTGCTTTTTTGCGAATGCCCGTGCAAAACCTAGCGCCACATAACAAAGGGAGACATAAAGTTCCATGTTGCTGCCATTTAATGACACCTTAAGAAACCATTAACTACATTTTCCTGCCATCCCATAATTATTGGATACTTTCTTGTTGACTTCCCCTCGTATCTACATGCCTTCTTTAATAATTTCACAATTTTTAGCCGACTTTTCTTAATTATTACCTCTGCACCCCTGGCATACGCTCGCGGCACCCAGTTTGAGAACCGCTGGCTTAGAGCATGCAAAGATTATTACAGCGTCTGGTTATGGCTGATAACAAATACTGGGGTTTGAAATCAACTGCAGACGATATGGTAACAGACATTTTTGTGTCAGTTCTGACAGTTATCTAAGTGTCCTGTTCAGGAAATTATATCAAACTACCCAGAGGTAAAATTGACTAGTAAAACCACTCAACAGCCAATAAATACTAGGGTTTGTGAACTTCTGTTGGCTCTGCATTTATGGATGGCCGAAGATATCCATGCTCTACCCGTGCCTTCCTTGAGGATCTTTCAAGCTGCACATGATTGCTTTGGAGGATTCTCTAGTAAGCAGCTGAGGATCAGGGGATTACAAAGTCACCACACATAAAAGGTTACTGTTGTCCCATGAAACTAACCAGGAAGGCTAACCTGGATAACTAATGACCAAAGAAGTCGGCTGTATCGATCGAAAGGTGAAAATATCACAGCTATGCTGTAAACAGGTGCTTCACATGTATGTCACTCAAATGAACAGTGACTAAGAAGTTTTTGAATTTATGAAGAAGATATGCAACATTTGAAACTGAAGCTATTGTTATATGCCATATAACTACTTTAATCTATACTTAATCATAGCTTATTTGCATATTTTATAAACCAAATTTAATCTGTTTTCCTAATTTCTGTTCACAGACAAGTTGATGGGGTATATCACAGCGGACCGTCATTATTCTAACGCGGAGTAAGCTTACAGTCTGAGATGTTTGGATCATAATTTTTCAGGTGTCAGCGATCTCAGTACATTATGTATCCCTGTGACTTGGTTCCTGGCAAATCATGGGAATATTTGTTATAAAACTTTAGTGCCTAGTTCAACTTGCTTACTCCAAGAATTCATTTGCCTGCTAAGCTACATTCAAGCATCAGCCATTTTTTTATGGTTTTGTAGGTTGAAACCATGGCTTTTCGTGGATCTGAGAAGTTGAATACAAATATGTATGATGTCCCAGAGGAAGAAAGTGATTCTCAGGCAGAAGAGCCAAAGAAGAATGTGAGTCCTCATGAATATGGGAAAGGAGGGTTGTTAAAGGAGGAGGATACGTTCAGACTGACAGATATGGACACCACAAGTGGTATACGCTCTGGTGAATCAGGAGATGGAAGGTTTATTCAGTCCTCTGTTCCGCCTTCAGAATTAGGTTTGGAAGATAACTTTAACAAAAATATTAGGTTTAATAATGATAGCAGTGAAGTTTTAAAATCACCTAGTAATAGTATACCTGTGACTGTGAGTTTTAACCATCCTGCAAGCAGTAACACTTCAGATTCAAGGAACAGTAAAGACACATCTTGGAATACTTCCGAGATGACCCCAGCTCTTGCTGGAAGCAATGCATTTGATGGAAATAACAGAAACAATATATCCTCAACGTCAGGCCTTCCCGTTTCGTTACCACCACTTCAGACATCAACTACAGAGCCAGTTTCTCCCACAGCGACTGCACCACAAGTGGAGCCAACAGTACGGCGGCACTTTGAAGTCTCCAATGTAGATGAATCTGCACTGAAAATGAACAGTGAAAATGACATTCAAGAAAAGGATGAAAATGACACCGAGCCAGATTTTGAAAATAAGCCATTGCTTGAAAAAACATCCAGCTCACATTCAGATTCTGATCACAGCAGCACACAAAATAATTACTTCGACACAATTGGACCTTTAGAAAATCCAGTGTTCCTGAAGATGTTGAACTATTCTGTCAGGTATGTTTATCACACTTTACATGACAGGTTTTTAAAATTCTGACTGAAAAATAAGCATCTTACATATTCACTATATAGTTTATTTGAGTCCCTGTTGTGCGTTGAAACAAGACAAGCTTGATGTTGTCAAGGCCATTTGGGAGCAGGTAAACAGTGCAGATAAATCATCACAGTCTGAGGAGAACGGTGCTGCAGGGAGTGACCAGGGAATCGTAACTGACACGCAGCACTCAGAGGAAAAGCAAGGAGGACATAGTCGACTGCTGCTGGTACCATAAAAGGTGGAACTCTGCGCTGGTTGCTGAAAATGGGGATGAAACCCTTATATGATTGCCCCAGGTGCTATGAGGTCACTTCCTAACTCAATTCAGACCACTTTAATCATCATCATCTTTCACTTTTCTTAACGGACCTCAGGGGTGGGAGCACTTGTTGGTCCAGCTCTTGATGGAACTGCTTAGCTCAATTCTGTGTCAGTGTAGTGTCTTTAATGTCATCAGTTTATCTTCTTTGTGATTTCTTTACACACATTCACATTGACATCTCAAGGTGTATAAAGAAAAACTGTCAAAGGATCTCATAGCTGGTAGTCCAGAGATGCAGAATTCAGGAACCATGAAGTGGAAGTAAAAAAAAAGTAGAAACTTCTTCGAATGAACTCAGAAGATTTTTTTAGGTACCCATTTGCTTTCATATTAGCTCTTATTGTATGCAGGGTCAGTGTTGGTGTCTGGTCTTGCTGCATTCTAACAAGATACCCAAACCATTTGATCTGCTGCTTCTCAGTGTATTTGGTGCAAGGCTTTGTTCCTGCAATATGTCTGATCTTGCCATATTGGACTGTAAATTAGCAGCTTTCCTCAGATAAATCATCTTATGAATACCCTGCATTAATGTTTGTTCTTAATGCACCTTTGAATTATTTTGCAGTGATATGTTTTAAGCCAGTAATTTGCTTAATGATGACTAATGTCAGTACATTATAGTGATATCAGAATCCATAAAATCAAATAAACATTACAGATATGTTAACATAATTTTTTGTGTGGTCAGGAGTAAGAGCTTTTGGAGCAGACAGACGGTTGCTGAAAGAAATTTAAAACAAAAACAGCAACAAACAAGTAAATTGTTTCAACTGCATTAAAAATCATATAAAACCACCATGAAAGGTCAAAGAGGCAAGTAGTAGACACTGATACAAGTGGAAGGATGACATCAAGAGACTAGCAGCTTTATAGAATGTGTATATATTGATGACCAGAAGTTTGAGATTGCCTGGTAAATATTTCCATAGTATAGAAACTATCCTGGAAGGTAAATGGTAAGGCATGCCTGCAGTTGATGCTTGCAGTAGACACTGATACAGTGGTATGATATTGAGAGACTATCAGTTTCAGAGAGTATATATTGGTGGCCAAAAGATTAAGACTGCATAGTAAACAATTGATATTTCCATGGCATTGGGGAACATTGGATCAACTGCAATGCATTTGTTGCATCGTAACACTGTAACTTTGAAGACACAGAATGTTGCTGTTTTTTTTAGAGCCTTTGAGAACTTCAGTGGTGTTATCACTGAATTTTATCGTCTGGAGAAAGTTGGCAAAAAAGCTACACTTTTTACAATTCAAAGTGCTGAAATCATGCAGTTACATGGGGAAGAGTAAACGAATGTGATTATTTCTTTCTGAATTGACTGTAGCGAAACATCAGTTTACAGTGTAATCATGAGCTACCAGTTGGACAGTATTTTTTCAGACAAAGAAAAGTGGACTTTTTGAGAAAATCAACCTCTACAGGTGATGGGTTAATCAACTCCATCTCCAACAGTTTCATGCAAAAAGATCCTAACTGTTTGATTTCTCGGCTTGATATGAGTCGAAGGACTAATATTGCAGATTAGTTTATGAAGTTGCACTGAAGTCACACAAATGTGCCTGAAAAACCAAGATTAACATCAGAAATAAGTGAAGGAAGCAGCATTGTCTGGGATGACCACTTTCTTTTGGTTTGAACAAGTACCAAATTACAAGTTTCTACTTCTTGTTTGGATTGATATTTCTTTGCATTATTTTTTGGGTGTTTCTTTTTCTTTATCATTCAAGTCTATAATCATGTTTTGCCTTGTGGCAGACACATCCAGCTTCTTCATGTAGTTGTTGCTCAGGTTAGGCTGTCATTGCAGGGTCAGGCACATGAGGAAATATGTTTGTTTGTCCATGTGCTGTGCTGTGATACCAGTAGACACACACAAAATAGTACAGCTTAGAAAAGAGCAAAAGGTTGTTCTTGCCAAAGATTTACAGCTCACAGGTGACACATCAGACATACACAAGACTCATGACAGAGCTCATTCCTCAACTTTTTTCATATTCTGATACTGCAAGGAAACAGAAAGTGAGATATAAGTTGACGTTTTTTCTTCTTTCAAATTTGGCAGTGTAGATTATACTGTATTAATTTTAATTTTTCCCTGTTTGTTTGTGTAGCCGTGTTGCTCAAGATGATGGATTTGGACGGGCTTCCAATTTGGATCTAGATAAATTTACTGGCACAGAACCTGCATCAGAAATGGATAGTGGCTGGGCATGGGTTGTGCTCTTTGCAGCATTTTTTGCTTTGTCTCTGACTGGTGCCACTACGTTTGCAGCAGGTAATCTCTATGTTAGCTATTTTATCTGTTAATGTTAGTGCTGACTAAAGATACATTTATTTGATTTCATGTTTAAGTTAGCTGTTAGAGAGAGTGGGAAATGATAGATGGAAGTGTGACATTCTTTCTCCAGCTTGTATATCTTTTGAGCTTTCAAACAGTCAGGTGTACAGAAATTAGGCAAAGACACTATTTCTTTGCCCTTCTGCAAACTAGACTGAATGGATGTGACCAGACGCCCTCCCTCAAGGTCACAGAATGGGAACAGAAAACAGAGAAGACCAAGAGAGACCCTGCATAAAACCATTGTCAGGGCCGCTCAAGAGGCTCAATCGTGGGCCAAAGGAACATCCATGACCTAAAGCAGGCGGCAACAAACCAACAGACATAAAGAGCTATGACCTCTGCCCTGTGCGCCGCCCTAGGCTCAAGAGGAAAGGCTGACTGCAAACTAGGATCATTTTCAGGTTCAGAAGCAATGTGGTGCCATCTTCAAGATCAGGATATGAGACAATAAAATATCGCTTCAGAAGAATGGTCAGCAGAGGTACCTTGTGAGTGGCACTGCATCAGAGGACTTGGAGCATGCAGGGGAATGCTCAGTGTGCAGTGACTTCATTTGTGAAAACTTTACATAACATTATCATGCTAAGGTGTTGTGTTTAGATGCCTCAGTGGATAATGTTGACTATCTTTTGGTGTCCCAGAATATTTTCGGCTGCCTGAGTATATAGTTATGATACTAAACCAATTAATAAACTACAGAAATTCATTAACTTACCAAACTTGGCTATTAAAAAGGCTTACCTAGGTAAAATTAACACATGTAAGGTGAAATGCCTGCAGAAAGCTGCCCCAACTTAATAACCTTGAGTCCAAGTGAGAAATGATACTGTCAGTCAGACTGTTGGATAACCTTGCACCAAATTTATAGAGATGCAGATTTAAAGGTTCAGTCATCTCATTAGAATGCAGCCATAACTACGAAATACATTGCACTGCATTCTAGAAAGATCTGACATGAAAGTAATGTGAAGGAGAAAATGGATTGATAACATTTAATGTATTCTACATCCACATGGATTGACAATAGCCAGTGCTGCCCATCCAGCAGTGGATAGCAAACTCCTCCCCAGGAGACTAAATGGCAGAAGGGTAATGTGCTGCTGATGATGATTCTGCTCAAAGCAGAAGAAATTAAATACATGATAACTAACAAGGAACTTTGGAAGAAAATTAAAAGGAAAATATTCTGATGCTGCTGGATAGGACAACCATTGAAAAAACCTAGCAGTAGTATAGCTAGGATATCCTTGCACTGAAACCCACGGGGCCAAAGCAATGGAGAGATACGACAGTCCACATGAAAGATAATTATAGACAAAAGTGAACAAGCTAGGAAGGACATACAATTGCACAAGATGGCAAAGAATAGGAGGCACAAGCTGGATGAGAGCCTATACTGCAACAAGGAAAAACATGGCTGAAGAAGATGTTTACCAGGTTTTGTTGACTGTGGAGCCGTATTGCGGACCTGGAGGCGACAAGAAAGAATTTTAGTTTTTCTCTAATTTTGACAATATTGTGGTCCTTGTCCGCAGAAACACTATTGCTTTGAATGAGGCGGCCATCATTTTTGGCTTCATTATAAGAAAAAAAAGCAAAACAAAAACTTAGTCATGTTGTCTTCTTTTTTTTGCCAGTATTTGCTTAGGGCAGCTAGGTGTCACAGATTAACAGACGATCGGTAGCTGGGGCAAAGTACCTTCAGTTGCTTGGTATGCTGGGATATTGTATAGTCTTAAAGTTATCAGAGACTGTCCATCTTCTGTTAGGTTTCCGCTGCCTTACAGTGTTTCTATTTTACGTTAGACGCTTTCATTGCTGGCATCATTGGGTTCATTTTCATTAGTTGGCTGAACCATTTCAGTCTTTGTTCAGTGAATTTAACATTTAGGATTGTTCAAATAGTTCTGGACATATATTAATTTCTCAGAACAATTCTTCTAATTTTGATCAATCTTTCTCAGACTTATCATTTTTAAAGCAGTGTTTCCTATTTGTAAATTTGAACAAAAGAAAGGCATAAAACTTCAACAGGTGGGTAACACATATAAGTATAAAATTAATCAAATATCAAATTGCAGAGAGGAGTGGAAAGTCATGCTTGATTGCCAGTTTTTGCTTCGAATCTGAGCTCCTGAAGAATAATGCAGCTTCATTTCAACTTCGTTTATAATTATATACTAATTTATTATCTGTATAAAATACACTTTAAACAACTAATTAATTGCTAATATCAAATTGCATATCTTTCCTTAGGTATTCTGATGCCTGAAATTTTATTAAAGATTGATCCAGATATTACAAAAGCATCTTGGATAGGAGCTGTTCACATCAGTGTTTTGTGTATGTCAGGTATGTGTTCATAAGTTGACCTAATTTCAGCATCATTGTTGTTGTCAAAATTGTGAATTCTCCAATACGGAGAAAAGCCAGCTACGGGGATATTACATAGTGAGGTTCCAATATCTTACCTGGTGTAACTCTCTTGCCGCTGCCTGAAAGCAACGAGAATGGTCTTTTTCCAAATACAGCCAACCATTGCAAAACCTGGGTAAATGTCGAGGATTGCACTGTGAATTTGATTTCACCAAATACTAAGCCACAGAGCTGCTTAGTTTGAGGTTTGAACAATGGATCAACATCATGGCACTCGGGTAGTAACCCATAAGTGCTCCGTTCTTCTTCTAACTCAAGTCTGAGTCCGAAGAAGCTCAGCACAGTGCACACGCTATGTAGCACAGGCAAGGATCTTTTTAAGTCCAAATTTTGTATAGGCAGTGCCCTTAGGCTACTCTTTCAATTTTTTACGTGCGCAACAATGCACACATGCGTCCGATCTCACTACCCAGAGACCAGTGGGATTTATGAGAAGTCCACGTGAAACAATCCCAGCTCTTACCTGGGATTGAACCCGGAACCTCTAGCACTCCATATTTTCCAAGGTCTTTCCCTTGCTCTATACCCATTGTAACGTTTTAGTGTGGCTCGCTGTGGCAGATAGTACCAGGGCATTATTGTTAGGTGTCCAAACCACTTCATTTGTTTTTCTTTGATGACCTGAAAGACTGGCTTTATTCCTAGCATTCGTCTGATTTTCTTGATTTCGTATTGTGACTTTCCTTATACGAAATCAGACACTGCTGTGATTAAAGAGACATGTACTAATTCTTTTATTTGTTGATCTGGTGATTATTATTTGCTAGCCTTCTACCTTGTCTACACACTCCATGCACAATTTTTTTCAGGATATTATTATTACTACCATCAACATGAAAACTCTTTTTGGAGAGTGTATGAAAATAATTTGTTACCAGTACATGTTTTTTTTTTGTATCAGTTGAGAGATTTATCCCCTTCTGATTATGGCAGAAAAATATGTATTTAAAAATATTTAAAGAAAAATCTTTATTGAAGGTTAGAAAAATAATTACTGTAAGTCAAATAAAAGTAGTTTTATGTACAATTTCTGGACAGTTGGTAAACAAACAAAAAATCCCAGAGGTCTCCAAAATATGTTTTTACAAAATACAGTAGAACCTCGCTTAACGAGCACCTCTCATAACGAGTAATCCGCATAAAGAGCAAAATAAATTTTAAAAGAATGACTTGCTTAACGAGCGACGTTTCGCATAACGAGTGGCGAGGAGAGGAAGTCCCGGGTTGTGCGCACGTTACATCAGTCTGTGTTTAGCACTCGTTCCAGTAGCATCGTAGTGTCGCTTGTGATCACACATTTTCTCAAACTTGTGTTATATTGTGATATATGTACATGAATCCTCCAGGCCTACAAGATGACCTCCCTGAAGAATTTAAGTTCCTCAAGATCCAGTTTCTGAATCCTGACACCACTCCGTTACCCCAGGCCATGGACCAGCAAGTTATTTCTAACTTTAAGAAGCTCTACACTAAAGCACTCTTTGAGCATTGTTTTTAGGTGACTGAACAACCTCACTCTCAAAGAGTTGGAAAAATCACTTCCACATTGTTGCCTGCCTAAAGATATAAATTAATCAAGTAACAGAAAGTGTATTGATCGGCACATGAACGACAAAGGCGGGGGAAGGGGTTACCAAGAGAGCCATAACTTCTGCTTAGAAAAAGCGTTGGCCGGAGAGCGTTGTCGACTTGTGACTTTGAGGGGTTCGAGACAGTACCCGTGGAACCTGTAGTCAACGAGATTGTGTCTTTGGCCACTAACATGGGGTTGTAGAAGGATAACAGTGATATCGAAAAGCTTGTGGAAGAGCACAGCCAAGAGCTGACCACCCAAGAGCTTATGGAGTTGCATTGTGTTTCACAGCAAGAAGTTTTGGAGGAAAGGTTTATCAGAGGAGGTAACAGAAAAGCAACAATCTTCTGGCAAAATAAGAGAAATGCTGAAAGCATGGCAGACTGTTGCATCTTACATTGAGAAGCATCACCCTAATAAGGAAGTGGCTATGTGCGCTGCACATTTATTTAATGATAATGCTGTGTTGCATTTTCGCCAAATTTTAAAGCGTCGGCAAAAACAAATGTCTCTGGCATCTCTCTAGTAAAAAAAAAAAAAAATCAACTATGTATCGTAATTATTTTGACTTTTGTTTTGTTTTCTGCAAATCGATTTCGCATTCCAGGTGGGTTCGTTCCACGTTTGAAGAAAAAAGGAAGATGATTTACTTTCCATAAAGTCAAGCCCAAATCGATTTACGACAATGCCCACAAAAGGACCTGGAGCAAAAGAAACAACAAAAGTTTTTCGTCAAAAATTGAAAGAGTAGCCTAAGGGCACTGCCTGTACAAAATTTGGACTTAAAAAGATCCTTGCCGGTGCTACAGAGCGTGTGCACTGTGCTGAGCTTCTTCAGACTCAGACTTGAGTTAGAATTCTCCATATAATTTTCTTTGAATAAAAAAACATTATACATAGCATTTTGTGGGAATTTTTTTCGACATGGAACGCATTATCGTTTTTCACATTAATTTATATAGGAAAAATTGTTTCGCATAATGAGTGTTTTGCTTAACGAGTATGATTCTGCAACGAATTATGCTCGTTAAGCGAGGTCCCACTGTAATATTGAAAATATGATGACCACCAAAAATAAGTAATCTTAATGTTTTGAAAGAAGCTAAAAAAAAAATGCAGCTTGTCGCAAATATTTGAAAGATGTGGAAATCTCTAAACCAACCCCCACCACCCCATACACACACACACATATGTGTAAATATATATATATATATATATATATATATATATATATATATATATATATATATATATATATATATATATATATTTTTTATATATATATATATATATATATATATATATATATATATATATATATATATATATATATATATATATATATATATATATATATATATATATATATATATATATATATATATATATATATATATATATATATATATATATAAAGAGTTTTCACGTTGATGGTAATAATAATATCCTGAATAAAACTGTGCATGGAGTGTGTAGACAAGGTACAAAGCTAGTAAGTAATAATTATTAGATCAACAAATATAAGAATTATTACATGTCTCTTTAATAACAGCAGTGTCCGTGGGCAAGGGATTGTGAATGCAAATCAATTCTGACATACTAGGGTTTGAAGTAAGTATAGGGAAGAGAAAAACTAAACTCATGTTGTGATCACCAGAAAGATTTATGGGAAGCAAGAAGAAGCCTGTGAAAGATTCTTGGCAGCCTTCTCTTTCATGTTACAGAAAAGTGACATGTACAGATTAATCCATTGTGCAGGAGTTGGTGTGGCAGAGAAGCATAATAGCCCATGACAAGTGGGTTATGCACTTGCTGATGAATAAACTGGCAGATTTAATTCTGGTAATTAATTAGTTTGTAAATATTCACAGGAGAAAAACTAATTATTATTTTAACCACTTTTAGCTTGAGTTCACTTAAATAATACGTAAATATCACATGCTTGCATTTGGCTATTGACGAAAAACTTTTGTTGTTTCTTTTGCTCCAGGTCCTTTTGTGGGCATTGTCCTAAATCGATTTGGTGCCAAATCTACAGTCATCTTTGCAGGGTTTGTACTCTCTGGTGGCCTGATGGCTGCATCATTTTGTTTCACCATAACACAGCTTATCTTGACACACGGGCTTATTGCAGGTGAGTGCTTCTACATCTGCTTCATCTTCCTGTGAGATATTTTTGGGGGCTTGACTTCAGAAACATAGTCTACATTTTTTGGACAGGACTTACAAAATCTGGAGTCATTTATAGATTTTCTTTTAAACTAATTAAATCTGTTGATGATATAACTAGAATGTCACAGGGACAAAATAATCAATGGAGACTCAACAGCAGCAACAACAAAAAAAGATTGGGAATAAGAGACTGAAGTGAAAGGGGGGGGGGTGCGGGGGCACGAGTGTGTTGTTTGTGATGGCAAAGAATGAGATAGAACAACAGACAGTAAACACCAACGAGCAATAACATATGCACCAAGTGGATATTGAAAGAGAGGATGACAGGTAAATCATAATCCGGGGTGGGGGGGTGAAACAGTCCCAGAGAAACCCCGAAATACAAAGCAAAAAAAACGGACACTCTTGCTGTTTATACTTGACCATGGCCCTGCACGGTACAAGAGGAGTGAGATGAGATTCATTCGTTGTCCTTTTGTGCCGTTATGTGCCACACTGTGCTTGAAGTCTATTTCTCTTTTCCGTTCTGTCCTGTGCAATCTTTGATATCATGGATGGAATCCAGTCCAGCAGCTTTGGCTTCTCTACTCAGCATTCGCTTTAGTGTTTCTCTTGAGCGTCCTCATTTCCCATTTTAGTGCTTGTTTGGGGATTCTGTGTTCATCTATTCTCAGAATTATCCTGTATGGCAACATCTTCTCTGTTGATACAAGTGGTTGCCCAGCAAGCCATTTGTATTATTTCCTTCAATCAGTCAATCCTCGCCATCTTCACAGCTTTCCTGAATAGTTTCTTACTGCTACTATCTGCTGTTTTTGGGTGCCATATATTTAAGTGCCTTGCTTCAGAGTATCCCCATATGGGATCTGGGGAAGCATTTTGGAGGAAAGAGTATAGACCCACAGTGCCCCACCCCCTTTGAGAGCACGCTGAAAAATTTACTAATTAGGGGTGTTTCTTTTGAAGTCAGGGTGCTTCTGTCTGAGAGGAAAAAACCATCAGTCTGCATACAAATAAACCTGATCAGTAAAACAGATGTGCACACAAAACTCAAGTTCTAGAACAAGTGGAAATAAGTGGAAAACCAGAATTTTCTGTTAAGAGTTTACAGCCGGTGACGTCGAAGAAGATGTAGTCTGCAGGATTTTAATTATTGTCTCTGCGTTGTTGTTGTTATTTAACTCTTTAAATCCCAAACAATGCCTGATGTGTGAATGAATCTACGAAGAAATCTGGCTTCTTTGGTGACTACTTTGCAACTCTCAAAGTAATGCATACATGATTTTTCATCACGATTATTTCCCTACTTTGGCTTCCCTGCAAAACATTGTGGTACTAAAAGAGGTTAACATTTAACATGAAATTTCTCTTATCCCTTATGCTAAAACCTACTTATACCTGCCTTATTTTTGATTATTTTGAATTTGATATAAAAGAACATACTGTCCTGATATCTTTTAGTTGTTGATTAGTGCATGGTATAATTTTTATTGTCTTCAGTTATACAATTATATGCTGACTGCAAACATCTGAAAGAATTTAAATAGAAAAGTAAAGTTAACAGGGGAAGGTAAGTACAGTAACAAATGGTTTTCACTTCTACACCTCATTAATTTTCTTGAATACCCATTTGTAACTAACTTGCTTACTTCCCCTTATGCTTTGTAAAATGTATGTTTCAGGCCTGGGATCTGGGTTCATCCTGAACACAATGTTTGTAACTGTCGGCCAGTATTTCAACCGCTACCGTGGCTTGGCTTGTGGGCTTCTAGCCACTGGTTCTGGCCTAGGCATGCTGGCAGGTCAGTTGAACATACCTTCTGAAATCTTCCTATATTACTTTCAAGGCACTTCTGTACTGAGAATAAATTATTTTAGGCACTGGCAGTTGCTACATAACTAGTTATAATGTCATGAGAAATGTGTAATTAAACTAGTATAGAGTAGCTGTCCCCATGTGGGATGCACTTTTTCGTTATTTGAAGCCCCACCCAGGCTTTTGCTGGGGGTTATAAATATGGCCTAACGGCTGAACAGGGTTTCTGGGACCTCTTCAAGGGTGATCCTCATCCGCATGGTGGCACTTTGTGTCACCGGGTGTTTATCACTTTGTGTGATTTCCTCCTGGTGGGGTACAACTTACATACATACATACATTTAACTAATAAGTAATAAACTACTATTCACACTTGCACAGGACTGCAGGTTACACCTGACTACACTGCAGGTTACACCTGACTACACTGCAGGTTACACCTGACTACACTGCAGGTTACACCTTACTACACTGCAGGTTACACCTGACTACACTGCAGGTTACACCAAAAGAAAATGGTGACTGATGAATTTTTAGCTCCAGTAGTGTGGAGAGATCTAGCAAGCCATGATGGTGTTATTTGTGCTTCAATGCTTTGATTGACATGGTAATTCTAAGAAGGGCAGCCGTCAGGGGTAAAACATCTGCTACACACCATTAACCATGTCTTTATCAAATGTAAGTCAAGAATATTTGTGGTCATCTAAAGGTCATTGCAATCTTGATAAAGAACAGGCTTACTCAGTCGTCCCCACCCCACCCCCCCCCCCCATTTTTTTTCAGTGCTGCGACTCACCGCTACAAGAAGGATTGGCTGTCAGTGACTAGCACTTGAGATGTGTAAACAGCACTTGTTTACCCCGTAATCTTGTGTACTGCAGGGGGAGCGATGGTTCATAAATGTCAAATCATTAATGTTTTTGTATTTTTACGCTCGTTAGTGGTGGCTGTCGTCGGTGGTGGGTTTGCTTAAAACCTTGAAAACAAGCAAGGCCTGATGCCCCTAGAACATAGGACAGCCTGTGGGAACTGGCACTGCATGAATGAGAGCCAGCACTGGGATTTTGCAAGAGAGATGGGAAGACTCGTGAAAAGTACCAACAAATGTCCATGCAGAACTCAAGTTTTGGAACAAGATCAAATCCACAAGTGGATGAACAACCAGAATTTTCCACTGGAGTCCTGCAGCCAGTGAACATGAAGAAAAAGAATCCCTTAATATTTGCTTCTCTGCATCAGGTAGAAAATAACGCAGAATTTTCAAAGTCGTGGATCTAATGGAGGCAAAATGTTTAACACCTTCATTATTATTTTCCAAGACTAGTGAGCTTCCAGTGCAGGGATTGTGTGTCAGTCCATAGATACTTCAGCTCTTCTGTGACCAGAATGCTTATATTCTTATCAGTAAATGAACAGTTAACGTAAAATGTTTTCCAGCAGGTTGTCACAGTTTAGCTTGAAATATTCTCCGGCAGCAAGGGACCAATAGATTTCTAGGAAACAGTAAGGCTCACACTACCGTAAACTTATAGAAACTCTTACAATTCTGCAGGAAACCTGGATGCAACATTTTTGAAATGTCATTTCTTACAGTATTACCTCGATTTCTTCTCTCCAGTAAACATCATCATATAAGGTAGATGCAGATTGGTAAAAGACATAGAATGAAAGTAAATTTTTTTTTCTGTGAAAGTAAATGTGATGATCTCATATACAGTATCCCAAGCAATAAAAAAAAGTAATATGAATTAATCTTAGATAATACAAGTCTGTATTTATGGTCCAGGGCTGTTAAAGACTTCTTACACTAAAAGACTGCTGGCAGTGTTATAGTTTATAGTCTTGGAACAAATTTTTTTTTTTTCCCCTCTTTTGGTCATACTAGAAAGCATCTTCTGAAGATGGGTCATGATCATGAAAATAACAAATAAGCCAAATATTTTGAAACAAATAGCAAATAAAGTTCATGATCTGGTTTTTTTAACTCCAAAGGTAAATTCCAAGGACCGCATAACATAATTTATTTATAGTTTAATTTAAGTCTGTACTAAAAAAAAAAAGTGAAAGGCCTTGTATTAAATGCAGTTTGTCTTTGATGAGTGTATCGTATTTTAAAAATAACTTTGGTCTATTTTCAGGAGGTAATGCATTGGCAATACTGTTAAATACCTTTGGCTTAAAAGGAACATACCTAATGTGGAGTGGGGTGACACTACACACTCTTGTCTTTGCCATGCTGCTGCGGCCTTCTCCTACAGAAAAACAGAGGGAAGCAGAGAAGCTGGCACGCAGTAAACGACGCAACTTTCAGGGGGATGCTAGAAGTCTACGAAGCGGGACAAACAGTATTTATAGTGCAAGAACAAACTCTTTCAAAAGAAGCCAGAAATATACAGGCAAAAGCGACCAACAGGATCCCAGTGTTGCTCCTTTGTTACGATCCGTCCTGCATAAGGATTTTTACAGATCCGCTCAGTCAGTTGCTGCCAGCCAGGCTGGCAAATCACATCTCAAGTCCAATTTAAGCATCTCTGTGGCTACGCCAGCTGCCCAGAGCAAATTGACTTCACAGTTGAGCATAGCTGCTGACCAGCAGAGCCTGCATGCACCAAGTGTGACCCAAAGCAAAGATCAGGCAGATCGGCCGCCTTTAAGCCCTTCTGATTCTAATGCTGGAGGAGAAGTGTCTGTTGTTGCTGCATCTCCTACTCAAAGTCAAGCTCCCGCTGATATCAACCGCTCTTTTCGCAGGCGACTTATTTCAGGGTCATCTCAAGCACCATCTCATTACACCTCCACCGGTCGTCTTAGCTATCGCCCTTCAATACGAGAACAACTACAACGAAATGATATTGATAACGAATCTTTGGCTTCAACCTTGGTTTCTCATCTTCAGCCACAAGATGCTCTTAGTCCCAGGTATCGTCTTGGATCACGAAGTATTTCCTCCATGTTTGGCAGCATTGCTAGCTTGCCAACAGCATTAGTCATAATCAAAGATGATTTGTCACAGATTGACACAGCTGATGGCCCCAAGAAAAAGGTACGATATTTGTATAAACCATGCTGACATAAAGCTATTCCATAGCTGTCTCTTGTTCCAGTCATGTTGGATATAAATGTGTCTTCATGCCATGATGTCAAACAAATATTTTATTTTTTGAAAACCCTTGCTGTGGCGCCCCCCCCCCCCCCCCCCCCCCTTTCCACTGTCTGTCATCCTCTCTTTCCAGTTTCTCTGTTGATATTAATTTTCCAACAGATGTCTTCCTCTTGTTAGCATACCATTTCTAGCATTGAAAAATGTTTATTATTTGTTAAATTAATTTTTAGGTGACTGCATGTTAACATTTATGTCCCTGAAACACTAGAAAAGAGACACTATGAATCCGGGAATTCCCAGGAAAAAATCCTTAAGTAAACAGCCATTTTACACAGTCGTAAAAGGTTATCTATATGTATTGTTTAAAACAATTTTCAGACATTATAAGGAAGAATAATCAATAAACACAAATGGAGCCAAGAATTAACTGAATTTAATTTCCCTGGGCCTAAAAATGTATTGGGCCTAGACAATATGTCGGGTGGCTCATATGGTGACCTTGTCGAAATTCTAACACTAAAGTTTACAGGTAAATAATGACTTTAAAATAACCATTTTGTTTAAAAGACACACACCCCCTCCCCACCACCCCACACACAGTGTTCCTTTATATTCATTTTCTGACCTCCTAAACATTGCACAGGTGCTGCAAACATTACCAATGGTGTTAATTAGACATTTCAGAAACATGCTACTGTAGGAACACAGTGGAGGCGGCATTTACAGAATTGAGCCAAAGCCAGATGTGCTGGCTTTTGTGGCTTCTTGTAGCGAAAGAGTCTCATACTGTCTTTGTTCTAGGAGTAATGTCAGTGGAGACATGGAGTAAAAACACCATTTGTGCATGTTCATTCTGAGAGGAGACTAATGTGTAGTAGATGTCCTACAGCATATTTTATTTTTTGTAAAATAGTTCTGAAAGACAGAATTACATGCCGATAGACAAGAAGAGAATATTAGCCTGTGTAGGCCATGTGAAGAGCAGAGTTATTTTACCTGGTTCTAATCCGGACACCAGGTCCCCCCCCCTCCCCCCATGCTGCTTTTCTATATTTTTGCTATGTGGCTGTTCCCAGAGAAGCCGAGTTGATTGGTTCTGTTTGCACCTGCACAGTGTCATACTTTATCCATAGTCTTAGAATTCCAGTGAGGTAATGGTTTGAGTCACCCGAAATGTGTTTTATGGCCCAGGCAATATGTTTACTGTGTGAATCTGTTCATATTTATTGATAACTCCTTTAATATATTTTTGAGTATGTTAGCGTGTGTGTGAAAAATGTAGATTAAAAATTCTTTGTTAAATTGGGGGGGGGGGGGGGGGGGGAATTTGTTAGAAATTGTAAAACTGGAATAGCCTAATCCTGTATTCCTTGTTGGTAGTACATAAATAAATTTGTTAAAAGTATTAGTGACCAAACGGATGTTTTTAAAAGATGTGGGGGAGGGAGGGGGGAGGATTCTAACAGGTTCCTGCCTTTTTGTTTTTTTTAAGCATTTTCGGGATGAAAGGGTTTAAATGTGAATGTGGCACTTGATGTTGATACATAATTTTACATGCTCTTTGGTTCTCTTATATAAAGTTTGCTGTTGTTTCTCTTCTGTAGATAAGTGATGAATCCAGTGGCCTTCTCAACACATTTGGACCCCTGCAGAACAGGCCATTTTTAGTGTTCATTACTACTTGCTTCCTGTGGGCTCTGGGAGATTCACCTTTTTCATTTTATCTTCCGGCATACACCATCAGGTTAGTATTATGTTCCCTAGTATGATTAACACAGATTCGGACTATTTTCCAAAACAACACGGTAAAACGTTGTCAGCTTGAACTCACTTAGGATAAACACATTGGTTAACATGAACAAAATTATGGTTCCAGCAGGGATGTATTAATATTGTAGATCTCCAGTTGTCTACACAACCCCCCCCCCCCCTCCAACTTTGATTATTCAGTCCCTTAGAATTCGGGTTAATGTGGTTTTACAGTATTACAAGGCTTGGTACATAGGAATAGGAGACGGGTAAGGCGGTGAAATACTTTAGCACACTGGGCAGACGTTTAATATAAAAATGTCAGATCCAACACATCTCACTGCCAAAAAAAAAAAAAAACATCAGAGGACCATCAAGAAACATCATCAAGGCCTTGATGAAAGCTGTCGTGCAGTCTAAATCTCCACATGTACCATACAGCGTTGTCTTGTTTGAGGTGTGGAACTGGTGGATTGCTTCTCTTTTAGAACAGGTTAGACCCCTAAATTGAATTTGATTTTATCTGCTGGAAACAATGCTTTCTTATAGGTACATACTAGTTAAAGATTGAAGGAAAATTAATTTTGGTGGCTAGAAATATTTAAACTGCCATAATTCAGTTATTTATCAGCCTAGTTTAATAATTATTTCGGCTGTCTGTTAGAAATTGTAAAACTGGAATAGCCTAATCCTGTATTTTTTGTTGAAAGCTGTGAGTGGTGCTGTTACTATTTGAAATAAAGGTGAACAAGTCAGTGCTAAGCTGTGGCACAGTGCTTCCACATTTGGTAGATCTATTAAGCACCTGAAAAAGGAGGTTAAATGGGTTAGAAGATAAAAAGAGAAAAGTAAAGTATTCAGACAGATGAGCTTGGTTACTTTTTCACGATTTTTGCGTACAGCAGTATCTCAAAGAAGATACATTGTCTGTCTATCTCTAAGGAGGCGATGAAGTGAGTCTTTGGGAGAACAGTTGTTAGTATCCAGCCATCTTTCTTGGATACTAGTTGTTTAAATATCTTAATCTCCTTGTGGAGTAAGTCACAATTTTATTCACCATGTCACTGCCACTACTGGCCAGTCTGAGCTTCATGAACTCAGGTGGGCCCACCCTCTGAAATTGTCTAGGAGCTCATGGGCCGAAACAGTTGTGGACGAGGGATCACTTCTACTGATTATTGGTAGACTCCCCTGTGGAGTTTCTTCTTATCCTACTCATTGTCTTGGATCTGTCGGTTTCATTGTCTGCTAAGCCATGGTGACCATGAATCCACTGCAGGACATACAGTTGTAAACAAAACAAGGGAATGAAAAAGACAAATGAAATCATTCCCACTGTCAACTATAATGTAACATTTATTATGTTAATATTGGTATTGCTAACTGTCTTCTTTTTTCTCTTTCTCAATAATTAGCATAGGCGCAACAAGTTATCAAGCATCATCCCTGTACACAGCTATGGGATTTGGTTCTATGTGTGGTCGCTTTTTGTCTGGATTGGTAGCCAGTGATAGTGGTATAGGTCCAGTTCTTCTTCACATTGGTAAGTGATTAGTAGAATTTGTAAGTGGGTTTTATAGAATTTGTAAGTGGGTTTTATAGAATTTGTAAGTGGGTTTTATAGAATTTGTAAGTGGGTTTTATAGAATTTGTAAGTGGGTTTTACAGCAGGTGGGGGAGCCTTATTAGTGTGGAGGTTAGACATTCACCTGCCGGCCTGATTGTCTTAGGTTTGAGAATCTGCACTGCGTCTGATTTAAAAACAAAAGAGAATTTAATGGCCTTGGCTCCCAAGTCAGCCCAGTCTAAAATGGGTATCAAGTAATGTCCTGGGAAGTAAAAGTGGCCGGTGTGGTACTGATCACATCACCCCATTGAATGCTGATTAGTCTATAAAAAATATGAGTTGTGAATCATATGCTGCTGCGACAGGAGAAGAGTCTTATTGTAGCAGGGGAATGTTGTGGCTTTGAAAAGTATTTTATTATTGACTACGTTGCAGCTGAGGACCATCAGATTTAAATAACAGTGGACATACTGTATAATGCATTTAACTTCTCCTATGCATACGAAGCATATTTTTAATATTTGTGTACAATTTATAGCAGCAGTGGGCTGCATTAGCGAAGTTGATAGGAGACTCCCTTTCAAATCCAGCCGCGACTCGCTGCAGCGCATGGCCAGTGTTTGAAACCAGAAAGTTCCTGGGGTTCACCCAACGTCTAGAAAATGGGTACCAGAGTTGACACTCTGGGGTAAATAGAGGAACATTACTATAGCTACAGAGTTTCATGCAGACGGCAACACAGGCGGACAGTGTCTTATCGGCTGTCCATACTGATGGCAGAGCACTTATGGTTCATAACCGTGTGCAATGACGCTGGTTCACATCTCCCGACTGTATACCTTTTTTTTTAAATAGTAGCATTGAGATTGCTGAACAATATACATTTTGACAGTAATATATTTCTTTGTCACCTGTGTTTGCCTTTTAAAGGGCGGTGGGCACATTGTGATGTGTTTTACAGCTAGGCTGTGATAGCCATGCCTTTCACCCAACACCTCAGTTTTGGTAAACCCCTTAATTAGCCACCTTTTATGACTTCCTGGTTAAGGACCAACATGTCTATTTCCCCCCCCCCCCCCCAATGCACCCCATTCCCCCCCCCCCCCCTTTTTTTTTTTCCACCAGAACCCATACTGGGAGTATAGTTATTTAACCTTCATTGTTGCAGTAAATTAACCTGCTAATGACTGAGCAGTTTCATTACTTTGACCACGTTTTGTTTGGTTCTTCGGCTGAGGTTGTTGACAGTGCATGTCACTGAAACATGTTAATGCTATACACAGTTACAGGTATTGAGGTAGACTCGAGGGAACAAAATGCCATGGATGGTGTTGTGTGGAGGGGGCCACATCAGGAAGGGGATGAGAATGAAGGAAGGAAAGATTGCAGGAAGGATGAGAGCTGAGCATCTGAGTAGAGACAGCGTAGACAGAAATGTTGACAATGGTCCTGAAATCCCATGCTAAAATTGTGGCAATATAGCACCATCATCTGGAAAGATGGAAAGAATCTGATCCAATCCAGTTGTCCACAGAACTTGATTGGCACTTTTCCGTCTTTTCATACGATAATGTTATATTTTACTATGAGGGGGCAAGGGACTCATAGCCATGGCAATGGCGAGTGTGACTGGCAAGAGCCACCGACAGTAAGAAAGATCTTTAACAATTATAGCATGGGATTTCAGGACAGCTTTCATTAACATGTCTGTCTCTCTGTATGTCTAAGATGTCTTTAGGGACTCTGCCATCCTCCATTCTCCAGGTGTGAGCCAGCCACCTGAGCCTCGGTACACTGAGCATTAAGCAGACTGTTGTAATATCAGCTTTTTCCAACCACAGAACTTACATGCCTTTAATTTGGCCTAACAAGACTAACTCTGCAGCAGAAAAAAGGGATCATTTGTTCTCCTTGTGAACAAGATGGCAAGAGAATATATCACTGAACTAGTGGGTTCTTATATTCTTCCTTGTCGGTTCTGTGGCCTCATGGAGGGAGGAGTGGAATAAATCCACTGTTCCTGAACAAGCATGTTGTAAAGGGAATTCCAGTGAAATTTGACTAAAAGCTTAACCAAATGGGGAAGCAGAAAAAACATGCACAAAACAACACAAATAGCGTTTTGATGGCAGCCTTTGTCAAACATGAAGTGAACTACACAAAGCTAATGACAAGGAAAGGAGACTATTCAGATCTCTAAGGGGTGGCGTGTGCAACGTTTTAAATAATGTAAAGGGCAGTTAATTAAGAGTTTTACTGAAATCTGTAGGGCTGAAAGACACAAATATCACAGCCCAGCTATAATCCACAACACAGTTTTCTGTCACTCCGGTGTGGCAGCCTGAAAGTTTGACACCCATTGACTCAGAGAGCCTCTCTTTAGATGCAGATAAAAAACAGCAATTCCTAACAACCCAGTCCTAATTCAACTATTTTACAGTTAAACTGAGGCACCATGTGCGCGGCACAAATAGATCATCATGGTTAAAGGAGAATGGTGCCGCAAGGAGTGACCATGGGGATCTAGGCGACACTTAATGCTCAAGGGAAAGGCAAGGCAGATATAAAACCAATTTACCTTCAGAATTAAAACTCTGCACTTGCTGCTGAAGATTGGGATGGAGTGCATTTGGGAGTTTCCCAGAGTGGTGTGATGTTCACTCTTAACTCAACATTCAGCATGTAAATTATTTGCAAGCAGTCATATTCTGATTTCTCTGGTTTGAGTCACAAGAAGTTATTGTCCCTTTCATTTTCAGGATGTCTCAGTGTTGCCAGCCTGGTTGTAGGACTGAGTCCTTGGTTCACATCCACATACTTAGAGCAGATGATATGTGCTGGACTATTTGGTCTCTACACAGGGTCTTTAGTACCATTGGCATCTCTCATCACAATTGAACTGCTGGGCATTGGAGAACTAGGCTTAGGGTTTGGATTCTTGTCTATGGCTCAAGGAATTGGCTATCTTGCAGGACCTCCTTTGATGGGTAAATATCTTGTTACTTTGTTGCATGTTTTTCAAAATACGTGTGGGATGTAGAGGTGCTGAACCAAGCGTACTGGTGCACTAGGACCAGGGTTCGTACTGGTCAAGCTAACTCTGTGCATACAGTCCCAGTGTTAGCCTGGCTAGTAGAGATAGGGTCAATGTCTCCTTCAAAGTCAGAGCACATCTGCCTAAGAGGCAAGGAACCATAATTGCATACTAATGAGCCAGAACCATAGTCAGCACACAAATAAGCCAGATCTGTAAAATATATTCCTGGAGAAGGTTCCGGGGACCATTGGGGGTAAATGAGAATAGACCCATTGCCCCCCCAACAAGCATATCGTAGGAGTCAATTAATTGGTGACATCATTCGAAGTCAGGGTACATCTGCTTAAGAGGCAAGGGACCAAGAGTCTGCACACACGTAAGCCAGATCTGTAAAATTGATGTGCACGTGACACTCGGATTCTGGGACAAAACTAAAGTACACAAGGGGACGAACAGCCAGAACTTGTAGACGGAAGTTACAGCTGGTGAATGCAGAGTGGAAGAAGTAGTAAAACATGTTCAAGCAAAAGTACTGAAACAAAACCAAAGTCCAGAAGTGAACAAGCAACCAGGACTTTCCACAGGAGTTTACAGCTGGTGACCACGAAGAAGAGTTATTGTATCCGTTGTTAAAGAAAAGTAAAATATTCTTTACTACTGAAAGGTATTCGGTAGAAAGTGTTACCTCCATGTTTCAATATACTAAAAAAGATTATTTGCCTTCATAATTAGCTTGGCCTTTCCAAACTCAGTTTGTTACATTTTTTGATTTTCCCAGTTTTGCTGTTGCTTTTACTGATCCAAAATCCTGCATTTCAGTGCAGATAACCCCTTTTTGACAATTCTATAACAGAATGTGTAATGTTTACTAATGTTGAACAGGTTCTTTGGATATAATTTTTTTTTTCTATTTGAGGGGTGGGGGGAGAGGGTAAAACACAATTAAGCTTTGACTTTCACGTTGTTTTGCACGTTTCAGGTGTGGTTATTCAGGCACTGGGCTATAAAACAGGCTTCCGTATTTCAGGTGAGTGTTTTTCTGTATCTACTTAACCCTCAGTCTTTTCTTTAATTTCACTTTTTTTTTCTACTTCGGGTTTAAAAAAAAAAGACACGAAGTGGTTTACACGCTTCTGGCTGCCTTGACCATATACACCTTATACTGTTGTTGTTTCTCTAATGTTATCCTACCAGCTTCTTATTAGTTGTTCCAAATTCTGTGTCTTCTCTTTTTTTTTGGGTATATGCCCTCATGGCTTATGGTTTGGAATCATAAAGCAAACCATTTTATTTGTGTATAATATAGCATTTGTTTTATGCTAACTTCTCCTGTAGTTTCTGCTGTGTTTTCTTGTTTTTAAACTCCTGAATCACATGCATTTTATATTTTCTTACAACGATAAAGGTAGCTTAGTGACATATACTGCCATTCAAGAAGGAAATACCAGGTGTTCACATATGCTAGTTCATACAATAGTGAAATAAGGCCAGTTTCCTTCATGCTAATTTTCCTTTCGAGAAGATTGTCGACTACCAGTGTTAAAAGGCTGGGTGAGTCAGGTACCAGTGTTTAAAGGCTGGGTGAGTCAGGTACCAGTGTTCAAAGGCTGGGTGAGTCAGGTACCAGTGTTCAAAGACTAGGTGAGTCAGGTACCAGTGTTGAAAGGCTGGATGAGTCAGGTACCAGTGTTAAAAGGCTGGGTGAGTCAGGTAGCAGTGTTTAAAGGCTGGGTGAGTCAGGTAGCAGTGTTTAAAGGCTGGATGAGTTAGGTAGCAGTGTTCAAAGGCTGGATGAGTCAGGTACCAGTGTTTAAAGGCTTGGTGAGTCAGGTACCAGTGTTCAAAGGCTGGATGAGTCAGGTACCAGTGTTTAAAGGCTGAGTGAGTCAGGTACCAGTGTTTAAAGACTGGGTGAGTCAGGTACCAGTGTTTAAAGACTGGGTGAGTCAGGTACCAGTGTTTAAAGGCTGAGTTAGGTAGCAGTGTTCAAAGGCTGGGTGAGTCAGGTACCAGTGTTTAAAGGCTGAGTTAGGTAGCAGTGTTCAAAGGCTGGGTGAGTCAGGTACCAGTGTTTAAAGGCTGAGTTAGGTAGCAGTGTTCAAAGGCTGGGTGAGTCAGGTACCAGTGTTTAAAGGCTGAGTTAGGTAGCAGTGTTCAAAGGCTGGATGAGCCTTATAACCATGCTGGTTCGAGAAAATACATGCTTTTCATCCCATGATGCATAGGTTCTGTTTCTCACCATTAAGAAAATGGCTGGGTTGATTTAAAAATTCTGCCCAAAGAAGCTCAGAGAGCGGCGGTTTGGTTTCTTCATTTGGACATTCATCGAAGAATGCAGGCAGCGTACAGTAACACATGCCTCTTGAAGACAACAGTAACAGACTGGGCGCAAATTTTTCATACAAAGGATGTGAGTTCACAACAGGTTTTTAATGAATGGGTCAATTCAAGTGCATATTGTTGCAACAGAAAAAAATTTGCCATTTGTACAGAAGGCCCATTGTTGAAGCATACGTTCTCTGGTGAAAGAATTTGATGTGTCAAATTGGGACAGTTTAAAAGATTGCTCATAAAAAACTGCAGTATCAGAAGGTGTGTTTACAGTGGTTGTTTAATGGGCAACCATGACCATTTTTTTGCGGGCGTCATTAACTATCTACCTAAGCAATGGGACGCTTGCATGAATGCCTACAGTGACTTTTTCTAACCAACCCAAGATACATTATTCATTTACAATGAATGCTTTGTTTAATTCTGCCACCCCTGTTGATGTTTTTTTTTTACCTGCTTTTGTAATAAAGCCATTGGAATGGGTTTCAAAGAAACACTTCTAATGTATTCATATCCAGCCTCATTAACACTGCACAGAATCAAACAAACCAAAGTGCCGTTAACTAGGCTTCTCGGAACAAACTAAAGCAGAAAGGCTGCATTTACAGGATTGTCACTGCGGAAATGCCAGGGTTACTGCTTCTCTCGGTTACATGGGTATGTCTAATTATTTAGGGATTATTGTGTAGAAAAACTACAAAACTTAATGGAGCCTGAGAGATGGGGAAGAATGACATTGATGACCTCATCACGTGAGATAATCAAGATAAGAACACAGAACTCATCCCACTGTCATGGTGGCAAAGTATGATCTCTCATGCTCCCCATAGGAGTTCCAGGGTCCACTTTTGCAGAACAAAAGAATGGACTCGCTGCTCTCCCTAATATGTATGTTGTAAAAGGCGACTAACTGGGGTGTTTCCTTTGAAGTCCAAGTGCATCTGCCTGAGAGTCAAGGAACCAACAGTCTGCATACAAATAAGCAAGATTTGCAAACCTTAGGTTTAAATAAAACTCAAGTTCTGGAACAAAATTTAAGTCCAGTAGTGGACAAGCAACATCAACTTTCCACTTGAGTTTTCGGCCAATGAATTCGAAGGTGAAGAAGACTTCATGTGCTTAACAGCAAGGCATATGATGAAGGCAATGTCCCAACAGGTTAAGAAAGTCATTACAAGTATATTTTTTGTTAGGTTTAAATACTGTGAATTCTACTAACTTTTGCATAAGTCAACAAATTATTATTCTGCTGTTCACTCAGGTCTAATTCTGCTAATTGCCAGCTTTTTGGCCATGATGATAGCAGTTTTAATCAAAAGAGTCAATGGAGAGGAAGGGATCCACGACTCATTTGATGACCTCGAGAAAGCTTTACGAAGAATCTCAGATACTGATATGGAAGAGGGGGATGAAGACATTGTGTCCTACCAAGACATGGACCCAAATACTACAAGTCCGACAGATTCAGACACTTTTCAGTTCACTGCCCTCAAGAAGAAAGATGAACAGGCTTCACAAGAGCATGCCTTATCAGGGGATGGAGGTCGTGGAAATAAGCTCAAGGAAAAGGCTCAGACAAGCCCTACATCTACAGGTGATTTGGGGTTGATTGGTGAAGAAAGATGAGTTCAGTTTTATGTTGTTTGAACGAGTAAAGATATTACGTGTTTTGTAGTGACTTCCCTTAGATGTTGCCTAGGCTTGCAGATGTATAAATATCTTCCAGTGTGTGAAAGTATAGAGCAAGATTCTGAACATTTGATGGCTTTTCTTTGAGTATGTTAAGCAGTTAATTTCTTTGTTGTAAAGTTTCTTAAGCCAGTAATTAAAATGAAATGTTTGTGTATTATTTGAACAGTATGGTTTTACTGATCACATTAACACATGCTGAGTTATTTGTTTCTCATGTTTTGTGTGTGTGTGCTCGCGCATGCGAGCGAGAGAGACTCGGGCAAAGAGAAAGAGAAAGGTTGCACATATTTATAAACGAGAGAAAAACAATGGGTGGAACTGAATGGGATGTTTAGTAAGCATGAAATTAACAAAAACTACACATCATCAGCATAATTTATAGTATTTTATATTATTTTTATATCAACCAAAGATGATATACGTTTTTTATCATATTTATTTCCTTTTTTTTAAGTGCATGGTATGTGCTGTATTTTTTTTTTCTTATTACGGGCTTGATCCAGTCAGATGTGTTGCTGTCCTTTGTAAAATAAACAAATCTAATGCCACAGATACAGCCTTAGTGTTTAAGTTAAATTTTTTTTTTTAATGTACTGTTTGTTGACAAAGATAAGGTGATGTGGTTGTTTAGATATGTGATGAACTTCTGCATTGCCCTTTAAAAGGCAGTTGGCATGTTATCAGAATCTACATCTTTGGGCATTCCCATTCACACTCAGTCCTCCAAGGTACCTCTACTGATTGTTCCAGTGAGTGTGAAGTTGATTATTGTATCATCTGTCTTGACTTAAAAGATGGCATAGCCATGCTTCACCAACCTTAACTCCCATGTCACACAATCATGTTAATATCAGAGAATCTTCTGCGCTCAAACAAAAATATAAATGTGTTGTGCCCATTTACAGCATGGCTGTGATATTTGCGCATTTCGGAAAACACATCTGACTTCTGAAGGCACTTGTTGACCGGGTTAGCTTTCCGGACATCAGAGATTCAACATTGTCCCAAATCTAGTCTGTACATGGATTTGATGCACTCCGACGATCACCTCAATATTCTGGCATTGAAAAGTGCCACATATTTCAATGAGCAACAGTTGAGTCACTCTACCTGACAATGCTAAAATGTTTTTTTATTTCATGATTTTATTACCTAATTTTGCGTTCAGTTTTATTCAGATTGTTTTAACATTCACTGCGTTATAAAGTTTGTTTTCTAGCGTTTAGAATTTAAATTTTGCACCATTAGTGTGTTTCTTACATTTTGGCATAGTCATTAGGGACGCTAGATGACTGGTTACCAAGTTTAGTGAGTCACATCTTTATAAAATCTTCCTAGCATTTCATATAAATATGCCAAATCTGCATATAAATATGCCAAATCTGCATATAATTATGCCAAATAATATTAATGTCACATCTGGATATAAATAAGCCAAATCTGATCACAAAGATCTGAATATAAATACGACAAATCTTGATTTAAAAAAACAATCTGGATACAAATAAGTCAAAACTGGATTTTAAAAAGCCAGATCTGGATTCAAAAAGGCCTGATCTGGATAGAAAAAAGCTGGATGGAGACACAAATAAACCGGATTGGGGTACAAATAAGCCAGATCTGGATAGAAATAAGCCTGGTATGTCTGAATACAAAAAAACCAAATCCGAATACAGATAAGCCAGCTCCGTCTGGATGCAAAAAATGTCAAATGTTAAAGGAAACAAAAAAAAAGCCCTATCTAGATACAAATAAGCCAAATTTGGATATAAATCGGCTAGATTTGGATATAAACATGCCAGGTCTGGATACAAATACCCAGGTCTGGAATAAAACAAGCCAAATATAAATATGCCAGGTCTGGATACAAAAATTTTTAATATAGAAATTAAAAAGCCTAAATCTGGATACAAATATGCAAGATCGTGATACAAATAGGACGGATCTGAATACAAAACCGTGAGATTGGGATGCAAATTAACCGGATTGGAATGCAAATAAGCCAGACCTGCATACAAATAAGTGTGGTCTGTCTAAATACAAATAAGCCACATCTGGATACAGATAAGCGAAGACGTTGACCAAGTTTCGCTGCCATAAAACATGGTGCTGAGAACACAAGCCTGATAGTCAAGCGTTTTTGTTTTAATTGTGAGCTTTCTGTTCTCCCTAAACACAGAGTCTGTTAACGACATGAAGGAAGTGAGGAAGAATGGGATAAGACCTATACAAGTCAGCCAGGAGTCAAATGGATTTTATAGAAGACAATCAATTAACAATACTAAATGAGGGGTCAGCTACACGTATAGACCCTAGACCCGATAAACTGGAAACAACTATAGACTTAACAATGGTCACCCCAGATCTATAAAAATAATCCAAATTGAGATTTTAAAAATTTGCCAAATCTGGATATAAATACACCAAATATATAAATATGCCAAATCTTCATATAAATATGCTAAATCTGGATATAAATATACAAAATCTGCATATAAATATGCCAAATCTGCATATACATATGCCGAATCTGCATATAAATATGCTAAATATGGATATAAATATGCCAATTCTGAATATAAAAATGCATAATCCACAAATAAATATGCCAAATGATATCAATATGCCACATCTGCATATAAATAAGCCAAATCTGGATTTAAATATTCTAAATCTGGATATAAATACGCCTAAAACGAACATAAATTAGCTAAATATAAATACTATAGATCTTGATTTTAAAAAACGATCTGGATACAAATTAGTCGAAACTGGATTTTAAAAAGCCAGATTTTTATTCAAAAAGGCCTGATCTGGATAGAAATAAGCTGGATGGAGACACAAATAAACCGGATTGGGATAGAAATAAGCCGGATCTGAATAGAAATAAGCCTGGTCGGTCTGAATACAAATATTCCTAATCCGAATACAGATAAGCCAGCTCTGTCTGGTCGCAAAACAAAAAGCCACATTTATAAGGGAACAAATAAGCCATATCTGGATACAAATATAAATAAGGCAGATATGATACAAATATGCCAGATCTGGATACAAATAAGTCAGACCTGGATACAAATAAGTGTGGTCTGCCAAATCCGTATACAGATAAGCGAAGATGTTGACCAAGTTTTACTGCCATAAAACAGAGTGCTGAGAACACAAGCCTGATTGACAAGCGTTTTTGTTTTAATTGTGAGCTTTCTGTTCTCCCTAAACACAGAGTCTGTTAACGACATGAAGGAAGTGAGGAAGAATGGGATAAGACCTACAGTCAGCCAGGAGTCAAATGGATTTTATAGAAGACAATCAGTTAATAATACTAAATGAGGAGTCAGCTACACGTTTAGACCCTAGACCAACAATGGTCACCCCAGATCTATAAAAAATAATCAAAATAATCCAAATCAATATTTTAAAAATTTGCCAAATCTGGATATTAATATGTTAAATCTGCATACAAATATGCCAAATTTGGATATAAATATGTGAAATCTGCATATAAATATGCCAAATCTGCATATAAATATGCCAAATTATACCAATATGCCAAATCTGACAATAAATATGCCAAATCTGGATATAAATATGCAAAATCTGGATAAAAGTTAGCTCCAACAGTTAGCAGAACTCGCTTGTTGGAAGCCAGAAGTAATAAGATAGGATGGAAAGATTCAAGTAAAGGGTATGAAAACAGCAGCTCTTCAAGTCAGTTCATGAATGTGAGATGTTTTATTGGACAGGAGGGTGTATGAAAATACCAGATTGGTCCTGATATATAGGGCTTAGGTTACTAAGAAAATCTCCGAAATTGTGACACTGGTACACGTAGACTCATGACATTGGGTGCCGCAGAACGCTAATGCCACTGGACACCGCAGAACACCTGCTAGTGTTCTTGTTATCCGATTATAATCAGATTTTCGGCTAGTACTAGTAAGAGACAACAGTGGAAATGTGAAAATCGTGCATTCAACAATGACTCAACACCGAAATATTTCTTTATATCATTGACACGGTCTGTGGTGTGATCACTGACTATGCTTAATTTAAAACCAAGGGGCTTGCTATGCAATGAATGTGTGTCGGCAATTATTAAGGAATACAGCGTGAAGTGGCATTTCACAACAAAACATGCAGATATTGGAAATTAGTATCCAGAAGGTTTTACTGCTATTATTGTATGAGATTTGCTCTTGACTTAAAACCAGCCAAATTTTATAAATTTCGCTCAAAAACGGAAATGCAACTTTTCCCATTAATTACGTTTTGCATCGTTATAACTTTCGGTTTCTTCTGCACAAAGCCATACGAAATAAACTGTGACAGTTATTATTAATACTATGATAATAATATGGTAATTACAATTGAATTGACAGTGCTAGCATGTATTTATAATTCCAACGACAAGTTGGAAATACGGATATTTCAATTAAAGTGAGTATTAATTAATCATCAGAAAAGATGGTAGTACACTTTACATTATAACGGTATTTAACACTGTTTCATTTATATTACCTTAGGCTAGGCCCTAGGCATAGGAATAACAATTTTGGAGCTTATTAAAATTACGCAATGAACATTGTGTCAATTGTATTATGTTAATAATCTTTCAACACTTAGGCTTGGGCCACTGGACTGCGACGATCTCCCATTCTAAGCATTTTGGCCAGCGAGTATGCCTAATCGAATAGCACTAATCTAAAGTGAATAGAACCCTACACAAATCTGATTCTTGCTTGGACACATTGACCAACTGCTCTCATCGCCCAAATTCATCAGGCCTGCACACATGACAAATTGTGTCTAGAGCCTGCGCAATCCTAAACCTTCCTCTTTTCTGTCTGTGACCCTTAGCTCTACCTGGGGCTTCATGCAGGAGGTGCTTCTTGTCTGCAGCTACTCTGAGATATGACTTTGCTTGCAGAACTGAGCCT